CCCGAGGGTACCCCCCAGCCCCCCCGAGGACCCCCCCCAGCCGCTCGTCGCGTCTGCTACTACCAGGCTGGCACTGTCCACCGCCCCGGGGATGCCAGCTTCAGGATCGAGGACATCCCGGGGGATCTGTGCACGCATGTCCTGTATGCCTTCAGCGTCCTCTCGGCGACCACGTGGGAAATCGCTCCTAAGAACCCCAAGGTGATTTTTGATTCTTTTTCTTTCGTTTTTATTTTTCTTTGGTTTATTTTTTGGATTTTTTCTTTTGTCTTTTTCTCTGGGTTTGTGTTTTTAATTGTGTTTGTTTGTTTGTCTGTCGTTCTCTCTTTGTTTCTCTCTCTTTCTTTGTTTCTTTCTTTATCTCTCTCTCTCTCTCTGTCTCTGTCTGTCTGTGTCTGTCTGTCTGTCTGTCTGTGTCTCTCTCTCTCCTCTCTCTCTCTCTCTCTCTTTCTCTCTCTCTCTCTCTCTCTCTCTCTCTCTCTCTCTCTCTCTCTCTCTCTCTCTCTCTCTCTCCTATCCCGTAACCTCATTTCTTTTTTTTCTTCCAGATCGCATCTTTATCCGTATCTGTGGAAGTGAATAAAGCAATCGCATTTGACATAATCGCATAATTTTTTTTAATAACATTTTAGTAATACCACGCGTGCATGTTATCAAATATCGTAACCTACAAACTACTAAAAAATATCTATAAAATCTAGAACACCTTAAGTAAAAGTCTGTTATTAGGATTAAATCTTCTTATGTCTATCTATTCGGATTGGATTTTTTATTTATCATTTTTCGTTTGGTTTATAAAATTTGAGGTTAAACTTTCAAACCAGATGTTTAGATTTTATTTCGTTTTTTTTTCTAAATGACATTATCTAAAGGTAAATCTTATTTCTTTGTCCTTGACATGTTTTATAATATTTGATATATAATGAAGCTGAGGAGGATTATATAATTAAAATGGCGGATCTCAAATGGTTCGTTTACAGCGGATATCACGTGATCATCGGTTGGCGCAATTTTGGCGGGAATTTCAAATCTAGTAAACGTAACCATCCCTCGTTTGTTCAAAATATGGAAATAAGTAAATAATTAAGTTAATTATTGGATAAATGATAATGCGGATGATTACTTTAGTTGTGTTTTATAAGATATCATAAGCATTTCCATGATTTATCAATTCATCTATTTTTCTGGCGGCACAGGAAGGTTAGGGAGAAACACGGAAAAAAAACCTAACTGCATTTCCTTACGTAACCAGATAAAAGGGATTATATCTTGCTATCTACTCGAGATGTTTGTTACCCATTCCACGATAACCCGAAGACCATAGCTGTTTCTTGTATGGATCACGTCATCCTTTATCAAACTGCCGTCGCTTATCTTTTGTTTGTCACGTGGTCCTCTTAGAAAGTGGTTCCCCGAATAAGGTCAGCTGGGTTTTTCTGAGGGTCGCCAGAGGGTCTTAAAAGAAGAATATAAGGATCTATAACTGAATACGTTAGTAGAAGTTATTGAAGATTATTTTATTGAAATTCAATGTGTTGGTAATATATAAATTTATAAAAGTATAGAATAACGTAAGCTAATCTACATCTGCAAGTGTAAGTACCGTGAAAATGGTTGGATACATTACTACATGTTCACACATTTAGGGTCGCTAGCCCAGGCGAAGACCACACCCAAACACACAAACATAACACCACATAAACACACAGAACATCCTTAAAATCTTATCTATATATATATATACCTAACGCTATCTCTTCTCTCGCAGTTCGACCTCGAGCAAAGGGGCTACGAGAGGTTCGTAGGATTGAAGGCTAGATTCCCTGGCTTGAGGACCGTCCTGTCTATCGGAGGATGGGCCGAGGATGGGGGGAAGTACACCCAGATGGTCAGCAGCCCAGAGCGACGGCGGGTGTTCGTGGCGAGTGTTGTCGGTGAGAGAAAAGGGAGGGTGGGGGGAGAGGTGTTGGTAGGTGGGTGGGTGGGGGTGGGGTGGGGTGAGGGGGTGGGGGATTTTGGGGGAGAGGTGTTGGGGGTGGGTGGGTGGTGGGGTTGGGGGGGGTTGATTTTGGATTGGGTGTATTTTAGGAGAAGGGTGTCGTTTTAGCTTTTCTTGGGTGTGGGGTGTGTGTGTGGAGGGGGGGGGGTGAGGAGTTGCAAAGGTGGGTGAGTGAAATTGACAAAAAACAAACTTTTATAGGGCTTTTTAAAGCTATAACCAGACCTATGCTGTAATATATATATATATATATATATATATATATATATATATATATATATATATATATATATATATATGATAGAATTGTCCAGTAACTTTGACATTTTTGAAAACTCAACACTGCTATACTTGATGCAATAATTAAGGATTTATTAGCACACTTATTTTTGTGAAATCACTTATGAATTTATTTATGTATTTACTTTCACTTTTAGTTACTTATCTACTTAGTTACTTTCTTTACACATTCTTACTAGTAAGGCTATTCTTACACATCTACACACTAATTTTTTATTATTTCAGTAACGATAATTGTGTTTAACAATATTTATTGGAAAAACGACAGAATTTTTTTAACACGTACTTATTTATACAATTATAATTTTCTTTCCAGATTTACTAATTCACCTATCATTATTTTAACCTTGTTTATTTATTTCCCTTTTTTCTACAGCAAGATATTATAAACAAACTATTTCTTTTCCGCTCGTTTCCCCAGCCTTCCTCACCATACACGGTTTCGACGGATTAGACGTAGACTGGGAGCACCCCGGGGACCCGAGTCGAGGGGGGACTCAAGAAGATTTTCATAACTTTCCGTTGTTGGTTTGTATATTTTAAAAAGTCTCTTGCAATAGCATATATCAGAGGACGAAAATGAGAATATACATAAAGAGAGAATTTGTAATATGGAAATAATATAATCTAACCAAAATGAAAGGAAATATTGAATATACTGGGAACGTTTGACAGCAGTTCTCCCGTTTTCATTGATAAATGCTAGAATCTCACTGCTGACTCTTGGAAATTTAGCTGCAGGAGCTCCGTACAGCCTTTGATGCTGAGGGTCGCGGTTGGGAGCTGACCATAGCCGCCACCAGCACCAGGACAAAAGTGCTCAAAGGCTATAATGTACCAGAACTGTGCAGGTAACAGGTGGTTGGTCTTGTTGGGAACAGACGTATGTACTGTTGTTTTATAATCCGATCTTATTTTTTCCTTCTTATAATCATGTATTAACGTAATTTGCATATCTTCATTTTATTATGTATTCATATCATTATTATATCTTTATTTCAATTTGTATCAATATTATTATATCTTTATTTCATTATGTATCAATATTATTATATCTTTATTTCATTATGTATCAATATTATTATATACTATTTTATTGATATATATTTTTTATATCTTTATCTTATTACCATTAAGGTTTTTATATTCTTATTTCATCGTGGATTAATATTGCTATCATATCTCTATTTCATTATGTATTAACATCATAATTGTCTTTATTTCATAATGTACTAACATCGTTATTATATGTTCATTTCATTATGTATTAATATCATTATATCGTCATTTTATTATATATTAACATCATTATTGTATCTTCATATAGTTGTGCATTAACATCATTACTAGATCTCTATTTCACTATGTATTTATATTATTATCATATCTTTATTTCCTTATGTATTAATATCAATATCATATATTTATTTCAATATGTATTAACATTGTTATTAACATAATGTTATGTATTACCATCATTACTAGATCTTTATTTTATTTTGTGTTTATATTACTATCATATCTTCATTTCCGTATTTATCAATATCAATATATTTATTTCGTAAAATATTAACATCAATATCAGATCTTTATTTCACAGTGTACTTATATTATCATAACATCTTATTTCATTACGTATTAACATCTTATTTCATGACGTACTTATTTCATGACGTATTAACATCTTATTTCATGACGTATTAACATCTTATTTCATGACGTATTAACATCTTGTATTAACATCTTATTTCATGACGTATTAACATTTATTTCATGACGTATTAACATCTTATTTCATGACGTATTAACATCTTATTTCATGACGTATTAACATCTTATTTCATTACTTATTAACATCTTATTTCATTACCTATTAACATCTTATTTCATGACGTATTAACATCTTATTTCATGACGTATTAACATCTTATTTCATGACGTATTAACATCTCATTTCATTCATGTATATCTTTTTTCTTTAGAACTCTGGACGCTGTGTACCTCATGACCTACAACCTTCGAGGGCTGTGGAATGGCTACGCAGATGTACACTCGATGTTGTACGCAAGATCTGGTCTGGACACAGGCAACAAATTAGAGCTAAATGTTGTGAGTGTCTTTGAAAATGAGTCGTGGTGAGGGTGAGGAAAAAGAGGGATGAGTGAGCATTGTATGATGTGTAAGGAAATGAGGAAGGGGTATGGGTGAGAATGTATCATTTCTGAAATGTGTTTTGGTCAATGAATTGTGTTGTCGATTTGAATGAAAACAGGGAGTGAGTGTAAGAGGAAACATGAATGAAAATGTATATAATGAGAGGGTAGGGAAGTAAAAGACAGGGTAGGAGTGAGAACGTGTAATTTCAAGGACTTATTCATTTTCATTCTCGACTTAAAAAATACATTTGTTACAATGATTTGTTCATCGCTGTGAGAGAGATCCCAGCGTGTCAACAGATTAACAAATCAAGGCATCACACAAATGATTATTTCTTTTTGTAAACCATTCCTCCCAAGTTACAAGTCTGCGATTGTATTGTCTCTTCTCCTCTGTCTCTTTAAGAATGGCGGAGCGCTCTTATGGGTGAACCTTGGCTGCCCTCGGAGCAAGATAGTGATAGGCGTGCCCTTCTACGGGAAGACCTATACCCTCTGCAACGCCTCCATAACCGACCTTCATGCCCCTATTAATGGCACAGGGCAGCGAGGGCCTATTCTAAAGAGGAATGGAGTCCTCATGTACTTCGAGGTAACGTAACGAATTGTAAATGGGGATATAACATGAATATAGAATACCGCGTTTACGAAATACGTGATGTTAGCAGTAAAAGAGTACTTAAACACACGGACTCAGAATCAGATCATGGGATACATAACCTGAAAGCGGTTATATAATTTTTGTGCCTTTTATTCTACGATTATTATATCTTTCATATCCAGAATGATACTCAGTTATGGCATCACTGTCATTATCATCATTACCATCATCATCATTATTATTTATTTCATATATATCTTCTTTTTTTTTTAGAAAATATATTTTCAAAACGATATATCTACTTCCTCTTTCTTACAGATCTGCTACTTACTACAGAATGCTGGCTGGGTGCGGCAGTGGGACGCAGAGGGCCTTGTGCCATACGCTTACTCTGGTATTTAGTCCTGAAGCATAATATGGGTTGTGTGGGGTTGGAAATGTGGGTGGGAATATTTGTAACTGGTTCAAATGTGGAAGACAGCAGTGGTAGAAATAGAGGTGTGTGTGTATGTGTGACAGAGGTGTGTGTGTGTGTGTGTGTGCGTGTACAGAGGTGTGTGTTTGTGTGTGTGTGTGTGAGACAGAGAGGTGTGGTTTGTGTGTGTGTGTGTGTGTAAGAGAGAGAGAGAGAAACAGAGGATGTGAGAGAGAGACACACACAGAGACAGAGACAGAGCTGAGTGTTTGTATGCGTGTGAGAGAGAGAGAGAGGTGTGTGTCTGTGTGTGTGTGAGAGAGAGAGAGAATGAGGTGTGTGTGCGTGTTTGAGACAGGGGAACCAACATCAATGATGATAGGCCTATGACTACCTCTTCTTCCCCGACGCTCCCCAGGCGACCAATGGGTAGGATACGAGGACACAGAAAGCCTCAGGATCAAGATGGACTACATCCGGGACATGGGCTTCCTCGGGGCCATGAACTGGGCCGTTAACGACGACGACTTCCGTGACCTGTGTGGCCATGGGCTCTACCCTCTGATGAGGTTAGGTCACGTTATCTGTGTTCATTTATTAGCTTTTTTTCTTTTTATTTCAGTTTTCATATTTATTAGCCATGTTCATTTTGATTCATTCATTAAAAAAAAAAAGTTTGGCTGATTTTAATTCTTTGTTTATATATATATCATACTTTTTACTTTTTATGTCACTTTTTTGTTTTCTTGTTTTGCATTTATTATTCATGTTCTTCATCCTGGTTCATTCATTAAGAAACTTTTGCTGATATTCTTTGTTTGAATGTATATATAATGTGTAGTGTAGACAATGCAGAATGAATCCAGTGATGTGTTTTATTTCAGGCTAGAATAATATGCCGAATATGTGTTATTTTATTCTTCTTAATTTCATTTTAATGCATTTATTCTTTGTTTCATTTTCCTCCTTACTTATTATTTACTTAACATTTCTTTTATTTATTCTCTCTCATTTACTTTTCTTTTAATTTACTCTTTCTTTCTTTAATATTGTATGCATTTGCTCTTCTGAAAATAATACACTTCTATTTTTTCATGTATTTAATCCTTCTCTGAAACAATACCCTCACTATTCTTCGTGTTTTTTATACATTTACTCCAATTCTAGAAAAATACGCTTTTATAATTTTCGTTTTTTTTTGTTCCAGTACTATTCATGAGGGGCTGAAGAACTACACTGTCCCAAGTACTTAAAAGAACGATTCCATCCTCATTATGAGTCCACAGAAACGATTCAATAATGACAGTTCTCAAGTATACAGTTCACTTCGACTGGATATTGTTCAGTGTATATGTATATTTCAATTTATATATTTCAATGTGTATCCTGTTTCTACTGGTGTCTGGACAATGATACAGAGTCCCATAAAGTACATGGATATTACAAGAAAACTTCCTTATTGATATGTAATAGACTAAGTAATAGACTCTACCTGTAGAAAAATGTATAGCGCAATTTATTAGTATCTCTTATATACCCGGAATATAACATATTTACAATGAATATATATAGCTTTTATTTATCAATGACTTCAGCTTGGAAAACGGAAGACACAATTATCAAGTGTAATCTCTGCATTGCAATAAAGAAAGCATGGTAACGTATGCTCAACCTTGTGGTTCTTAACCCTGGGGGAGAGGGTAGGCATTTCTCATTTATTCTTCTCTTAATAAGTATATTGGATAATGAAAAAAAAAGCAAAAGTATGCCTTCTTTTAACTTTTGTTTTATTCAGGGTATAACTAACCTAGGGAAAAGGTGGGAATTTGTCTCATAATATTTGTCGTTTATTAAAAAGGCTATTGGATATTAATTCATACCATTGTATAGTATTTTATACGGTCATACAGTCGAATATGCATTAATTGAAACGTGAGAATATGAATAAATAAATCTATTAGTACACTAGATATCAAAATTTAATGGTATCGGTTAGGCGAAGACAACTATTGTAAAAAAAAAAAAAAAAAAAAAAAAAAAATCATATTAATCTGTTCATAACTTTTTGAATTATCCCGCTAACCAACGAACGAACAAACAGACTAACCAACGCTACCAAAACCATAACCTCCTCGTTGCCACGTCTTCTGCGATCAATCAGTTCGTTATTTTGGATATTTTGAGACTGCAGAAAAGATGCTTAGATTTCTCTCACATTCTCTTTCTCTTCTCTCTCATTCTCTGTCTGTCTGTCTGTCTGTCTCTGTCTCTGTCTCTGTCTCTGTCTCTGTCTGTCTGTCTGTCTGTCTGTCTGTCTGTCTGTCTGTCTGTCTGTCTCTCTCTCTCTCTCTCTCTCTCTCTCTCTCTCTCTCTCTCCCTCTTTCTCTCTCTCTTCGTTCCCATGCTTCGGGAGAGAGAGTTGACACCATTGCATAAATTGTATATATTTCTTTACATCATGAAAAAAAAACGACATCCCGTTTTAACCATAAATAAATGCAGATTATATACAGGTGGATATTTTTCTCCCCGAGAGAGTACTCCTCACCTATTTAGGTTAATTTACACCAATTACATTAACGAGATTTTATTATTTTTTATTTTTTTAGCGTTTTTAAAACCTTTAATTTGTCTTGGTATCTAGTATTAACACTATTATAGGTCTATCTCATGCCTAAACTTAAATGTATATCATAATGCATTGGGTATTGATATAAACAAAAGCCAGATCTGGAAAATATCTGGCAATTTTTTAAACTTCTCTCTCTGTTACCATAAAGTGAAACATCTGTTATTCTTTCAAATATAGAAAACAAAATCATGTGAATAAGATATGAATTAATATATAGATTAATATACCCTACAATCGTTTAGTGAAGTTTTCTTTGTTATTTGAAGGGTAACTTAGGTTAGAAATATCAATGAAATTTGTCGTTTTGTATTCCACCGTGTATGTATGTGTATATACATACATACATACATAAATATATGTACATAAATAAAGATGTATATGCATATATATGTATATATATGGATATAGATATTTACATATACACAAACAAACACACACACACACACACACACACCCTCAAAAAAAATAAAAAAAAAAAAAAGATAAATGACCGGCTTGCTTTTCTCTCATGCAAGATGTTTTTATTTCTCTATTTATTAATTTTAGTCCCCCCCCCCCAAAAAAAAAGAAGAGAAAACAAAAACTGAAATAACGACCTTGGTTGCTCTCCTCCCATTTCTCCCATGCACGATTTTTTTTTTCAATATATAATTTTCTTCAACAGAGGACCAGACCCTATAGCATAGAACCGTATTCATGTTGACAGATGTGGAAAGGTATGAATGAGAACGAATATCTTCACAATACAAGAGATGTATTTGACCGGTTTCCATTATGTATTTCTGACGAAGATATAATCGAAACCGGTTAAATACATCTCTTGTATTGTGAAGATATTCGTTCTCATTCATACCTTTCCACAACTTATAGCATAGCTTTACTGGGTTGGTTAAGCCATCTCGGTGACCAGTTTTCTTAAGTTATCTGCTCTGGTATTAAAGTCTTTGGAGTTTTTGAATTTATAATTTTTTCGTCCTTCTCTCCGAAGCTTTTTTTAATATCTTAAATTCAGTATTTTTTTTCCTTTTACCTTACCTTCGCGCAACTGCCTATAGGAAAATATGTAGATGTGTTTTAATTGTGAGAATATTTTCTTAATATGATAATGGTATGTTTCTTAGATATAACGTCTGTGTCTTTGAAATATGGTATGTTGGGCCTGAAGTCGCTTAAGGTCGACTATGTCCAGAATTTAGTCTCTTCACATAATTTCCGTTGTAGGATGTATATAATGATATGCTTTATAACAGCCAAAATTCTTTTTATTTCACTTGCAGGATAAGTACAATTTTATCCTTTTATTACTAACAAATTCCTTTATGCTTGAAATCAAATTGAATACAATATGATGTTTATAACATTCTTCTTCAGCTCTTTGCACTACTGTACAAAGGGTCAAGAAAAACAAGGTAAAGAAGCCTTCTTCAGTATATTCAATTTAAGCATGACTAGGCAACCACCCGCCCTGAAACCCTGAAACTTAAAACCTTTACCACAAAACTGAGGAACAGTAATTAGTGATGAATTCTGCTGAATCAGTAACATGGATTCCCCCCCTTTCTCTCCACCTATCCTCCTTCTCTCCTTCTTCCTCACTCCTTTGCCCTTATCTCCCCTTCTTCTCCCTCTGTTCCCCTGTCTCTAGGGAACCTCACTGTACAGCAGCCTGAAGCCCCGAGTCCTCTGGTACCCGGAGAAGAAAATCCTCATGAGGCTTGAGTCTGAGACGACGGTCGGCGGGAGAGAGAAGCCGTTGAAGTAGAGGACAGAGCCGGAGACGTAGTAAGGGTTTGTCGTCGGGTTCACAGCCACGTAGGTCAAGGAGTTGGTTCCCAGCCGCATGTGCGTGAAGGTCAGCTGAACTTTCATACCCATCGCCGCCTGGAAATGGGTGGAGGAAAGAGGTCAACACGGGTGCTCTCTGGGGTATAGAGGAATAAGGTTGTTTGGTGTATGTGGAGGCTTTCTGGGTGTCATGAGGGATGAGGAAAGGACAGTATTCTTAGCACACAGGAGTAGGTGGCGATCTATAGGACCTGCGTCTATGTTGCACAGGAACATACATATATACCAAAAAGAAAAAAAAAAAGGAAAAAAAAAAAAAATACAACCAAAAAGGCTCGCACAGAAACATATTTACAAAAGAAGAAAAAAAAAAAAAAAAAAAAAAAAAGACAAAAAAAAAAGGGCTTCATCTTTCTAAGTAAATAAGTGCCAACACTTACGATGATGTGCCATTCACAGTACTTCTTCCTCGGGTATCTGCGGGGGAATCTGGGCGACGTGATGGCTCCCCCGGGGCTGGCTGACAGGATCTGGGGAAGGGGGAAAGGGGGGGGGGGTGAAGAATCTTCTTTTTGGGATGATCATTTCATGTGCGTGGATTTTGCTACGCACATAAATGTCTGTGTGTGTGTGTATGCATATACACAAATACACATACACACACACATGCTCCTCTAATTGTTGTCCCATATTCCAGACAACATTCCACAGACTTCGATGCGAGCAGATATAGTACCGTCACTCTGTGGTATCCAACACCCTTCCTTGGTAAGTCGAGCATGTGCTTTTATTGCTTAATTGGTAATCGAGGAACCTAATATGATGCGTGTTTTTATTGGACTCACAACGACTTAAATTGAGCTAGACTAGGAAGTCCTAATGGAGAAATATACACTAAACTTAGGTCCCCGATGAGCCTAGTATAATACGTGTAAAAATTGGTCCCTCACTAACTCAAATTGAGCTAGACTAGGAAGTCCCAATGGAGAAATAATCATCTAAAAAAACAAATAAACATCTAAGAAACAAATCAAATAAACATCTAATAAACACATAAACTTACTTGGTGGCAGCCAGAAGTCCTCGGTCTGAACTGAGCATAAAAACCTTTCCACTGTCTGAGAGAGTTGGACGTGAAAGTAGCGAGGAACTGTGCGCTGGGGATGACACGTCTGTAGTTGTTCTTCCTTCCCGTCAAGCTGTAAACGAAATAGACAAAGGTGATTACATAGGAAATCCAAATCTATCGGGAAATTTGAAAAAAAAGTTCTGGTGTGTGGGAACTGTGTGTGTGTGTGGGGGGGCTGTGTGTGTGGGGGGGGGGGGGGACTGTGTGTGTGTGTGGGGGGGAACTGTGTGTGTCTGTGTCTGTGTGTAAACTGTGTGTGTGTGTGTGCGTATGAGGAAACTGTGTGTATGTGTGAGTATGTGCACGCGTGTATGTGTCTCCATACACACTAAACACCCACATAAAACCGCGTGTATTCACCACAACCAAAAAAAAACAGACCTTATCCCCCCCCCCCCATCCACACAGACCCCCCCCCCACCCCACCCCAAGCACCGCCACCCGTCCTGCCACGCCTTCACAGCCATAAGGGGTCGATATCCATTCAAAAACCCACGGCCCTGAGTATGGCGCTGTCTTGACTCACGTTAGCGGTGGTGTGTAAGGGTTCTGGATCTGCAGGACGTCGCCAGGTCGCAGCCGAAGGACCCTGATGTAGAGGTACACCGTCGCGAGTTCGTCCTGAAGAAGGAAAGGGGGGGGGGGTTGGACGGTGGATGGTGAGGGGCTGACTGTTGATAATGATGATGGTGATGATTGTGATAGTGATGATAATTGTGATAGTGATGATGATTGTGATGTGATGATGTGATGATGATGGTGACGATGTTGATGTGGTGATGGTGATGATGATGACCGATTATGTTGATTGTGATGATGATGATGATGATGGTGATGATGTGATGGTGATGATGATTGTGATGTGATGATGGTGATGATGTGATTGTGATGGTGATGTGAAATGATGATGCGATGACGATCACGATAGATTACACATGATGACATCGATGATGTCAATTGTCATTATCATTATTATCAACATTATCATTAGAATTAGAAGATGTAGGCTTAGTGATATTATTATTATAATCATCATCATTATCGTTATAATTACTACTACCATTACCATTATCATCATCAATATATACACCACCATCATCACAATTACTACCATCATCACTACTATCATCATAATCATCACACAAACATCATCAATAATCATCACATATCATCATAATCATCATCACAATTGCTACCATCACCATCATCATCACTACTATCATCATCACCATATCATCATCATTTCCGTCATTATAAAGAGAAAAAAATGGACCTACAACTTACTGTAATGTTCGAAAGAGCACAGTATGCATTTGGTGGGTAACTTTCAGGGAAATACGGCGAAATGAAATAGGTGGCTCCGTTTTCTGTGTAGATGGTACACTGGTCAAGCACAGCCGTTGTGGTTGTGGTGGTTGAGGTGGTGGTTGTAGTCGTCGTTGTCGTCGTTGTGGCTGTCGTAGTGGTCGACGTGGTTGTTGTCGTTGTGGTTGTCGCTGTTGTTGTGGTTGTGGATGATGTCGTCGTGCTTGTGCTTGTTGACGTGCTTGTGGTTGTACTTGAGGTTGTCGTGGTACTTGTAGTTGAAGAAGTACTTGTAGTTGTAGTTGTAGACTTGCCTGTAGTCGTACTGGTACTAGTACTTGCAGCCGTAGTAGTACTGGTACTTGTAGTCGTACTGGTACTAGTACTTGTAGCCGTAGTCGTACTGGTACTAGTAGCCGTAGTAGTACTGGTACTTGTAGTCGTACTGGTACTAGTAGCCGTGGTTGTGGTTGTCGTAGTCGTATCCGAAGGGCCGCACGAAGGAATTGGAACGAAGGTGACGTCAGCCGCCCACCCCTTCTTGAAATTAGACCCGACCTTGAAGTAGAGGATCATTTCGCCGCCGACGGACTGGAACACTTGGCCAGCGGATATGTCTGTCCCGCAGAACCTGGAGGGAGAGGGAGAGAAGGAGGGAGGGAGAGAGAGAGGGAGAGGGAGGGATGGAGGGGTGGGTGGGTGGGAGAGGGTGAGGGAGAGAAGGAAGGAGGGAGGGTGAGGGAGAGAAGGAAGGAGGGAGGGAGAGGGAGAGAAGGAGGGAGGGGGAGAGGAGGAGGGTGGGTGGGTGGGAGAGGGTGAGGGATGGAAGGAGAGGAGAGGAGGGAGGGAGGGGGAGAGAAGGAGGGGTGGGTGGGTGGGAGAGGGTGAGGGGGGAGGGAGAGGGAGAGAAGAGGGAAGAAGGAGAGGGAGGGAGAGAAGAGGGGAGGGAGGGAGGGAGAGGGAGAGAAAGGAGGGAGGAGGGGAGAGGAAGGAGGGAGGGGGAGGGGAGAGAAGGAGGGAGGGAGGGGAGAGGGAGGGGTGGGTGGGTGGGAGAGGGTGAGGGATGGAGGGAGGAGGAGGGAGGGAGGGGGAGAGAAGGGAGGGAGAGGGGAGGGAGGGAGGGGAGGGGAGGGGAGAGAGGGAGGAGGGAGAGGAGGGGAGGAGGGAAGGGGGGGAAGGAGGGGTGGGTGGGTGGGAGAGGGGGAGGGAAGGAGGGGTGGGGTGGGTGGGAGGGGTGAGGGAGGAAGGAGGGGTGGGTGGGTGGGAGAGGGAGGGGAGAGAGAAGGAGGGAGGAGAGAGGGAGGGAAGGAGGGGTGGGTGGGTGGGAGAGGTGAGGGATGGAGGGAGAGGAGGGAGGGAGGGGGGGAGAGAAGGAGGGGTGAGTGGGTGGGAAGGGAGAGGAAGGGGGGGGAGAGAGGAGGGGGAGGAAGGGAGGGAGGAGGGGGTGGGGGGGGAGCGGGAGCAGGGAGTGGTGAAGAGAGGGTGAGAAAGGGGAGGGGAGGAGAAGGGGAAGGGGGGAGGAAGGAGGGAGGGAGAGGGAGGAGGGGAGGGAAGGAAGGGGTGGGTTGGGTGGAGAGGGTAGAGGGAGGAAGGGAAGGAGGGGGAGGGGGAGGGAGGAGGGAGGGGGAGAGGGAGAGGGAAGGAAGGGGTGGGTGGCAGAGAGGAGGGAGGAAGAGGGGAGGGAAGGAGAGGGGGGAGGCGAGGGGGGGAGGAGAAGAGGGAGAAACAAGAGAAGAGAGGAGTGAGAGAGGAGAGAGGGAAAAGGGAAGGAGAGTAGGGAGGAGAGGAGAGGGAGGGAGGGAGGGGGAGGGAAGGAAGAGAATAAAGGAAGGAAGGAGAGAGAGGAGAGAGAGAGAGAGAGAGAGAGAGAGAGAGAGAGAGAGAGAGAGAGAGAGAGAGAAGAGAGAGAGAGAGAGAAAGGACTTTGAGAGAGGAAGAGAGCGAGAGCGAAGAATAGACGCGGCAGGGGAGAGGAGAGGGGGGGGGGGAAAAGAGAGAAGTAAATAAACAAATAATGATTGAGGCGGCTAAACGGCAACAACCGTTAATGCATCAACATTTAAATAATCATCAGCAAGTTCATTTTTTTTGACATTATTTTTACACATCTTTGCATATATATTTTTTCTTTATTTCTGAAAGATTTTTCTACATTAAAAAATACAAGTTTAAATTGAATTCTAACTGGTAAAAAAAAAATTATAAATAAATAAATAAAAATAAATAAAAATCGAAGCATGGTCACTCTAACTATGCAAACTAAGTAAGGTTAAGTAAGGCGAGTCCTTACTTATTCGAGATGAAATCGAATCTATATTTTTTGTTTTGTTTCTAGTAAAGATTTAGCTGCAAAATATTGAAAATTTACCCTGTATTTAGCGATTTTTAAAGGTCCTTTTTAGCGGGAAAATGAAGTTCTCTTAAGGTGTTACCACACTAGCACGTTTTCCGTTAACTTTGGACAATTTTCTAAAATTTTGTCAATTTTTGAGCAATCTGTTGATTTTCTGGTCAGGCTTAAAAAGGTGTGATAAAATAAAATCTTGTCAGCAATCTGTTGATTTTCTGGTCAGGCGAAAAAGGTCGTTTCCGTTTGAAAATCTTTCCGTTAACTTTTCCGGCCAAACATAGTCAAATCAAGAGCTATATTCAAGTGTAAGTTGTAACATAAAGAATAT